CATCCCTGGTCTCCCCCCTTCTCCAGGTTGGATCCATCCCTGCTCTCCCCCCTTCACGTTGGATCCATCCCTGCTCTCCCCCCTTCTCCAGGTTGGATCCATCCCTCGTCCCCCGCCTCCTCCAGGTTGGATCCATCCCTGCTCTCCCTCCATCCCTCCTTCTCCAGGCTTTTTCCATCTCCGTTCTCCATCTTTCCCTCACGCTTGCTCCATCCCGCTGTTCCTCATCTCCAGCCATCCTTCCTTCTCCAGCTTTGCTTCATCCCTTGATCCCAGATCTCCATCCATCCATCCCCCATGATCCCTCCATCTCTCCTTCTCCTTCTCCACAATCCCTCCATCCCTCCTTCTCCATGCTTCCTCCATCCCTCCATCCATGATCCCCCTCCCTCCTCCATGATCTCCACCCTTCCATGATCTCCATCCCTCCACGATCTCCATCCTTCCACGATCCCCGTCCCTCCATGATCTCCATCCTTCCATCCATGATCTCCATCCCCTCCTCCTCCTCCGCTCTCCATCCCACCATCCTCAGCCTTCCTCCCTCAACTTCCCCCCCACCTCCCTGCATGGAACCACCCCCCATGTCCATGGGGCCCACCAGGGGGCCCACCTCCCATGTCTATGGGTCCCACATCCCATGTCCATGGGGGGCAATGGCCGGCGCCCATGGGACCCATTTCCTTTATCTGTGGGGCCCATGGCACATGTCCACAGGGAGTGGTGACCCACACCCATGGGTGGCTCCAACCCATGGCCATGGGAACCGTGACCCACAGTCACGTGAAGCCTTGACCCACTTCCATAGGGCCCACAAGCCTCCTCCATGGGGAGCAATGACCCACGGCCATGGGGAACCGGGACCCACGGCCATGGGGAGCAATGACCCATGGCCATGGGAACCCATGACTCAGAGCCATGGGGAACCGTGACCCATGGGGAACTGTGACCCACAACCATGGGGAACCGTGACCCACAGCCATGGGGGACCAAGGCCATGGGGAGCTGTGACCCATGGGGAACCATGACCCATGGGGAACCGTGACCCACAGCCATGGGGGACCATGGCCATGGGGAGCCGTGACCCATGGGGCACCGTGACCCAT